CCCCTCCCCATCCCCTCCTATCCGCCGTCAGGCAGCGCGGGCAGGTCTTCACGCCCGCCGCCGGGAGTCGAGACCCGAGAGCCTCTGCATTTGAGAGCCTGCCTCTGCATTTGAGAGCCTCTGCATTGTGTTCCATACATTCCATCCCGAACGTGTACCGTCATTTATTATTCATCTCCAGAAACAACACATTTATACTATGAATAGCCACATTTTTCGATAATGCTGAGTCAGTTTGCAGTTTTGTTGTGTTACATGATTCTGCGGTTTTTCTTCATCGGAGATCCACCTTCTCCCACGGAAAACTGCACGATGCGTGTGTGTGTAGTACGGAGGGGTTCGGCGGCAAAGAAAAAGACTAGGAGAGCGGTCCAGAAATTTCGAAGGGCGCGGACGGCGGACGTAAATACGGGGCAGCGCCGTATCTGTGTGAGGTGCAGTATAGGTGTGTCCTAGTGAGAACGACTCGCACGTTTTCAAGCGTTCTAACAACCAACGCGGAGCATTGCTCGAGCATGTGACCAAGGCCATGCCTTCTGCCATCGACAGGCCCACCCCCTGTCCAACCGGACCCGTGGTCCCTATCAAGGCTGTCCTTGTCCTTGGCTTCCGCGTCGGAGCGCCCGTCGTTGCCATTAATATTCGGGGATTCACCTGAGTTAATATGCAGTTATGCATGAACCGTTCGGCCTGTCCAATGGCGCTCAAGCCACAGAGATAAATGACCTTCGCGGTTCAGGCGAGAGCGTTTACGTCACAGCATACCGGCAGTGTTGGCGCTGCGCAGCCTGGATCTCCTCCTCGTGCCCGCTTGGTCGCAGATGGCAAAATTGCGCAGACGCATTCACCGTTTTGCTATCGTGGTATCAGACGTCAATTGTCACCGTCATAGAGAACGATTAACGATATCAAACCGATATGGAACAACTTGAAACCCCTGCACACGCTTCACTTCATCCTACCGTTTTCGGTCTTCACAGTAAGTGGCACATGTATATAACGCATGCATATAAAAGCACATGAAATTTTGACAAGGGGACTGGGCCGTGCTCAGTGTCCCTCACACCCTTAAACACACCCCTGACCCACCTCGAATTAATGTTGCAGTGAGTCCAGCTTGCCCACACGCAGCCCACGCGGATGGGATACATGATAACTGTCGCTCGTAGTTGTCCATCGTATGGTAAAACCTAACCAGGAAGCACACGGCACGAAAACTATTGTGCATATAGTCAAGATGGTAGCATATGAGCATTCTATCTGGGTCCCAGGTGGGGCCTAAGCACCAGTCCGCCTGCATCTCATGTTGGCCTATGGTAAGCTTGCCCGCATGCGGCCCGTTTGCATCTGAGTCTACGCCGCTCTCCCTTGTTGCAAACTAGCATGTAAGCGATAAGAAAATATCCAACTATGGAAAGCAAAGTGCAAAAATTAATGCACAAGTGCAGAAGATTTCAGCATATGGGCAGTCCATCTGGATCCAACCTTGAGCATAAGGACTAGCGCATCTGCAGCCTACGTTGACATGATCCTAACTTGCCCACATGTATCCTACATGAGCCGGTGCTGCTCTCCCTCGTTACGCACTCATTTGTACATGATATAGAGAAAATCCAATGTGCGAGCACAAAAAAGTCTGATGCACCTGTTCCAAATATGGTAGCGTGCGAGCGGTCCATCTGGGTCCCAGATGGAGACAAAATACCGCCCCACCTGCAGCCTGCATGAAAATGAGCCAGGCTTGTCCACGAGCCGCCCATACAGACTCAGGAATGTCAGCAAGGAGCACCTCAGGTCTGAACAGGCAGGGACACCTCTCGGTCATCCGGAGAAGTGTTAGTTGCGGACGCGAACCGCCCGACCCAGGGAGCGCTACTATCTAGCGCCTTCATTGCCTACGCGATGCACCAGTAGATTGAAAATGGCGTTAATCCGTTGCGACAATGCGCATGCGCTCTTTAAGGCGACCTGTCACCAAAACTAACATATCGTGGTATGGCCTCGCGATGCTTGTTTGCAAAAATGCTGGTAATATTTTCACAGGAAATGGTATCGCGGCTTAGGAAAGAGGAGTTCGCCGAAGAGCCCACTCGCGGGAATGGAGTGCATAACACGATCAGCGAATAACATGCTCATTGGATAATGCCGTGGAACTTAACTTGACTGCCGCCACCTAACAACGGGCTAAAGCGAGTTCATGTCTTTCTTGACGGCCAAGTAAGAAAATTTAATTCCCGGGACTTTGTTCATTCACACCCAGCAGATCACGCAGCCCTTCCCCTCCCCTCCTTAAGAAGAATTCCCCGGATTTGGCCTATTTTGTTAATGAAGACATGTTTTTCTATGTTATTTCCTATTTTGACCTTGTGTGATTGCAAAAAAACCGGAAACTACAGCCAAATCAATTCGGCATGAAGTTTGTAGTCAATGAGCCGAAAAAATTGATGCGTTAAACGACTACATGAAATTGATCGACTGCACTGTTCATTTTGCAATGGTCCATTAGACTCTTTTAAACCGACAGAACTAAGAAACTTTGTCAGAATTTGTATTTGACTGTACAGAGATATGAAAGACACTACCAATGTAGATCAAAGATCAAAATGGGACATTGATTTGTTCTAACATGGCCAGGCCCTGTTTGCCTGGAAATATTCGACATTCATCAGAATAAATAAGCAGCACAACTTATGCAACGTAGTTCTGAACACGCGTGCCCGCATATCTTAACATCTAGAGCCTCGACGCCAGGCGTTGCAGTTTTCGTAGGCCGCGCAGCCTCGGCCCCGTGGCTAACACTAAGTCAAGGCGAGCAGGTGGACGAAAATGATGACACATCTGGAAGAAGTACCTTTCAACCATTTAAGACACGAGGTCTTACATGTAGAAAATGTTCGGGTGTATATTTCGCCTGTGCGATTTCTGGATTGGTGATAGTAACGAGTCGGCCTTTACATCACCGCGAAGTGGCGCTGGAGTCTGGGTGGTGGAACTGGAAGAGTAAGCGTAAATCTTAGTTTTTCGTGTTGCTGTGACTACAAATATGTTCACAGGACAACCTCAAGGTTACCAGAAAAAATGCACGCAGTCTTATTCATCTATTATGTTTGAACTCTGTCAATTGATTTTGAAAGACATTTAAAAACATTATTTTACGATGGTCGTTCTTACGCGCAAGGCGTACGCTCTCTAGAGTTAACTGCAATGTCCAACGCCGCTCGATTGTACGGAAACTGCAACCAAGGCCATTGCTGTCCTTGCTCCCGAAATTGTGTGCGCGCAGGCTCAAACCGTTTGATGTAGCTTGTTTCACTAGTCGATTCTGCAAAACAATGAACGTTCTCGTTGCCAAACGTTGGGGCTAAAAGGGCTGAAGGCCATTCTGTTCTATTCGAGATCACATGTCGGTTGGACCACCCCACACACAACGGCGAGCTGCCGCACGCAACGACGCCGACAGGGATAGACGCGCGCCCACGCGCCGAGCAGCACCTTTCGTACTCCTTCCAAGGCTCATCCCCGCAACACGATCCGCGAGCGATTGTCGGCACACTGACCCGGGGCATGGTCCACCGCTACATCTGTCCCACCGTGGTGTGTCTTCCGGCTGCCATTATGGCGACACGGGGCGGGATCCCTTACCGAACTGAAAGCCTCAAATGGATACATCACATCACATCGTCCCGCTCCTTGACGCGGGAGGCCTTCTGACGCTGGCCCGCGCACCCTGGAATGACGCAGGAGCCCTGACTGACACAAGATCCGTGATCGCCGCAGGGGGTCAGACCGCAGAATCGCTGCAGGGGTCGGCTAGCATTTGAGTGCCCGGCCCTGCGGACCGGAGCCCTGAGTGCGACCTCCGGCCGGCCTCTAGGGCCCTTCGGGCACTCAAATCGGGCCCTTAATTGTGGGTTCCGATTGGCCCGAACGGCCCTTGGAATCCTAGGGACGGGGGTAGTTTCTTAGTGCCCCTTTGCCTCCCCCTCCTGCCTGCCTGCGCTACTGACATCAACTAGCTGATGCACGTGGGCTGGGATAAAAAATGTCACGTCATCCCGCTCGTATGTTCGAGGAGGCTCGAAGAGCCTGGAGGGCCCGCCGGGTCCGACGATCAAGGGCCCGATTAAAGGTCTAAGGGCGCGAAGGGCTGGTCGGAGTCCTATTCAGGGGTTCTGGTTTGCGAGACGGACCCTCAGATGACAGTCAGGGGCCCTTTGCTCCGATCGAAGACCCTCTAACTCGATATTGGCCTGCATGGTGATGAGACAACACCAGTACCACACAATCGGCTCTGTTTATGGGCCTGAGGGACCACTTTCCAAGCACGACAAAGCCGGGGCCAACGATTTACAATGGTCGGGGCCCCCGTATCTGTCAAGGCCCACAGAGCCTAACAAAGGGTACTTTGCTCGCAAAGGGCCCCGAGCCGACCAAGGGAAACGTTCGAGGAGACCCGAAGACACACCTGGGTGGCCCACCGGAACCGACGATCGAGGTCCCGGTTGGAGGACATAAAGGCCTGAGGGACTGGTCTTAGGTCACATAAGGAATCGTGACTGCAGGATCGTGATCTGAACACCAGTCAAAGGTTCTCTTGCATTACTTTTGAGGACCCCTGAGACGATGCGGTGTCTAAGTCGGCCGGAGACCACGAACACCAAACAGTTGGCTCCCTGTCAGTCTGACCTTAGGGTTCTATTTCCCACGCAGGAGCAAGGCCGGGGTAAGACATGCATTGGTCTGGGGTCGCTGAAACAATGGTTGGGGCCCCTGTGTCCGGTCAGGGGTCACAATGCCTACCAGGGGGTCATGTGTCGCTAGTCGTTGTAGTCGACCCCTTACCGACCAGCGCCTTGTTTGGGGAGGGTCCTAAGAAGGCTGCAGGATCCCTCGGGACCAAAGATCAAGGGCCCGACTGTGTGGCTGAAGGACCCGAAAGGTCCTTCAGCCGCCCCTAATGTGACCTTGGCTGAAGGTCACACTAAGGATGCCCCTCCCGCTTCACGGACCTTGGCCTTAAATGTCGGTCAGGGGGCCTCTTGCATCGATTGGGGACCCCCGGAACAGTGGTGGGGCCTCCATTTCCTGCCAGAGACCACCCAACACCGAACAGGAGGATCATGGGGCCCATCACTTCCCGAGAGCGATATCCAGCCCTGATCGGGGGACTCAAGTCAGCATTGCGGGATGGTCTCCAAAATTATATTAAGTGTTGCCCCTTAGGCCAAGACACATAACAGAACGGTTTAAAAACTTGAACAAACCCAGCGTTCAGTCCGAGACCGATAGAAATTTCAGACGGATTCAATTGGCTCACAAGCAGAGAACAATACAAATGCATACAATTATAGCGTGTTGTTTATCAGTAAACAGTGATAATAATGTTTGGGTTGTTATTAGACGCACGTAAAATCTGCGGTCATTAATACGCAATCTCCTATGACAATCTTAACAGTTAACGACGATTTTAGCGGATTTAGCAGCGAAATAGTGGAACACCAGCAATCTCATTAGATTCGGACCAGTGACCAGCGCATCACCAAATTTTGCCAACGCTCTGAACAACTGAGTCTCACCACCCCTGTCAGAGCAACTTTTTCCCTGACCTCACATTCATGGCAAAGGTAGTGGGTGCCCTTAAAATCCATGGTGGTCTTGAGGGAAAAGAGACCATCGGAAACTGTTGCATACCCTTGCCAAATTCGGATTCACCTCGTCACCATGTTGACGGAGGGTGATGACCCCCATGCTTAGCCGGGCCACTAATAACTCGTCAAACCTTTTGTTAAAAGCATTTTAAATGTGACCCAGTGGGAATGTAAGACTTCTCTCCATTTGGAAGATGTGTTTCGCCTCGCCCCCCCCCCCCAAAAAAAGAAGCTGTTTACGAAGCTCCAGCAATGGCCGCCTCTTTTCCCGACAAATAGACGAGTGGAAAAGTTGAATGAAAAAAATCGGAAGTGAGGAAACTCGACAGGCACAATGGTCAAATTGGGAAAAGTCGAAGCACAAAAATCAAAAGAAATGCAAGTCGACAGGGATAGCAGACGAACAGGAGAAGCTCCAAAGGACGACTTCGACGGAGACCAAAGTGGACACGTAACGAGCCGAAAGCACAACCTCGACAGGGATAAAGGTCAATATGGAAGTGCAAAATGCTAGAAGTCAAAATTATCTCAAATAGAAAGGTCATAAGGATTTGACGTGGGGTATGAGCGGAGGATGAGCATGATGAGTGGATGAGTGGATGTCGATGATGTTGAGTTTTAGCCATGGAGAAACAGATGGAACTGGATGAGGCTAGATGGGACGGGAGCGGAGTGGGCGGGATCGGACAGGACCAGATGATACCAAAGGGGACGGGATGGGACCAGATCACGCCGGGCGAAAACAGACGAGATGGGATCGGATCAGATGGAACCGGACGAGACCAGATGGGACCAGATGGGAGTGGACTGGACCGAGCCGGACGGCACCAGACGAGGCCACACCTGAACGGACGCAATCAGACAGTATCAGGCGGCACCAGACGTGGTCGAAGGGAACCGGACGGGACAGAACGGGACCAGCCGGGACTAGACGAAGCCAGGCGAGTTCTGACGGAACCGGACGGAACAGAACGAGATCAGCCGGGACTAGACAAAACCAGGAAAATTCTGACGGAACCGGACAGAACAGAACGAGACCAGCCAGTGCGAGACGGCGCATGACGCTATAGAACGGGGCAGGTCGGGACTAGACGGATTTTAAGGTGGTTTTCGGGAAAGCTGCTACCTATGGCCTGAACGCGACCCCCAAAATAAAGCTTTCATCAACTGTTTTGCGACATCACCTGGCTTTCGCCGGCTGCGTGGCGGCGCACGGCCTCGATCTCTCCGGCGTTCTTCTCAAGGGAGAGGGAGGGGCGGGGAACCACAGGGCGGCAGCAGGACAGCGGGCGGCGCGTGATATGCGACTGTGTCGGCAATGAGCCTGCGTGTGCGTTATGAAACCATAAAAGTAATCACATCGTGTTGACCCGCTCCACACATGAAACTATTGTGATTGGCTTCAGCTGGAGGGAAACCTTAAGGTTCCTGGTTATTGGTGAGGGGTGCAGCCTTCCCTCCCCCCCCCCCCCCCCACACACACTGAATAGGAAACTACACCCATGTGTTCGGCATTGTGAGTTCAGAGTTCCAACGCCGTGATATCAGTCCTCAATACATCGAGAGGTACAGCGATGCAGTAGATAAAAAATTGGTTATATTGTTGACACATGGCGTTATAAGCTGCGCTTGTGAATATGAGTGTGCCATTACTATCATCATAAGCACTCAGCAGTGTTACGTGGACTTCCTGCGATTATTATGCTTTGGAGTTATCGTCTTTGGACTTTTATTTTTTGGCTTATCACTGTCGACTAAGAACCCTATTTAACTTGAGTCTCAAAACTTTTTTATTTCACTTTTTCAATGCGAATCCCTGCAATTCGACTTTTAACCATGTTGACTAGTTGTCCTTTGACTTTTTCCCGATTCGACTTACATCCCTGTCGACTTTTCGTCGTCCGACTTTTCCGATTCGACTAACGTTTCCTATTCCGCTTTCATGCTACAAGACTTTTTGTTCAACTTTTTCCCAATCGACTGTTTTTTGTTGTTTTTTTGTTGTCGTTTTTTTGTCCGACTTTGTGCCCGGACGCTACGCGCGCCGTTCTACGGTGGTGTGGTTCACACGCTCAAGCGCTATTCATGCGAATGTTTTGCCTTGAGAACAAAGAACGGACTTTCATTCATTTTCTGCGGCTCCGCTCCGGGCCGCAGCGCCCGTTGTGGATCAATACAGCAACGCTGATGGTAGCCCTCTACTCACCGACGAGGCTAGATCTGCAGGACTGAATTTAAACACTGATCCAGCTTACGCCCGTCCGCATTTGCCCCGAGATTATGACTGGTCTATTTTCCCACCATGCCGTCCATCCATCAATCTGTGGACAAAAACCCGTGTATAGCATCAACCAACGACGCGGCGTACGCTACCCCAACGGCGCCCCAGCGTGCGTAAATTTGACCTTCTCGTAGTGCAGACGTCACAACCCTCTCCTTCCTATTGACCAATCAGCGCGCAGTCCATCGACTAGACTCTGCGCAGACGCGCTGCGCAGTAGTCGCCGTTGTTGTGAAGATGCGTGCGGAGGGGAAAACGGCGCATTTTTCGGAAAAAACGTTACATTCGTCGTAAGTATGCATTTATTTTAGTTCAATCGAATTTGCCATGATATATGAGTGTGTGTTTTATGGTCAGAATCGCTAATTTCCACTCATCTGTCCCCCGTTTCAGATACTTGAAGGATTTTCGCGTGGAACAATGTCCGCTCTTCCAGCAACACAAGTGCAATCAGCACCGGCCATACACGTGCTTTCATTGGCACTTCAAAAACCAGCGTCGAAGGCGTCCCATCCTCCGTCGTGATGGAGCCTTCAACTACAGTCCTGATGTGTACTGCACTAAGTATGACGAGTCCACTGGAGAATGTCCAGATGGGGAAGAGTAAGTAAACATTGCAACCAAGGAGGGAGACTAGCTTGGGTAATTTCTGTTTCAGGCGTGTATGTAGGTGTGGAGAAAGACCATTGTTACTGGGGGTACTCTGTTGTCAAATGATTGATGCAAGCTTCCTGCTAAAATAGGACCAGGGACATTTCTGGAATGTTGGGTATTAGACCATTTTTGAAGTCAATGCTTCCTTATGGTATAACAAGGGTTGTAAATAGCATAATTCATAGGCACATGGCTTATCTTCCATCAGTTGTCACATTTCTATAATTTGTTTTAAGATATGATTAGTTGTGTGCTCTAAGGGAATGGTTATTCTTGGATATTCAGACAGGCCTTTAATTGTAGTGAGCGATAGCAGGGTGCTCAATATAGATGAAGTGTGCTTTTTTGGAGGTTGGTTGTTCAACCCTGGCCTGTCACTTTTAACATTCCTTGTGTAATTTCTGAGGTGCTGTTTTGGAATTTTCAAAGTCTTTTATATGTTTAAATAGATTTGTTGATAGCCTAAGATGGTTCCCTGTTTTTTCAAGGATGATATGCTCTTGAAATACTTTGGTACATAAATCATGCTCTTTATGAAGCCCATACAATTTCCTGAATGGTTGCTGGCTCATTGAAAATGGCATGTTTATCTGCATACTGTCAGGAAGTCAAGCTTTTGCTGAATATGTCCAGTTGCTGCTGCTCAGTATTATATGCCTCAAAATATTGATTTGCTTATGCGTGCTCTATTGCTGTGCAAGCTATTTGTGATGTCATCATGCCTCATAAGATTCTTCCAGCATCATAGTTTTAACGGGGTGGGATTATTTTCAAGTAAACAGGCTGTGTGTATGGAATCTTCCCGAGGCTATGTCCTCCCTCTCATGGCCATTAAGCTTTATGTAGCATTCATGTTTCAGGTATGTATTGCTATGTCTTTTATCATGGGTATGGCCATTTTTACTCCCCTGATATTTCCTATTCACATATTATCTGCAGGAACATTAAGTTGCATCTGTAACATTGGTTATGTCACAAGATGGAATCTGACTTAATATTAAGTCCTCATAATTCTGGTTAGTGAACAATAGAGCTTGCTGATAAAAACAGGTCATAGCATTTTATTGGTCCAGGCTGCTCAGTGGTGCAGGGGATTAGCCAATCATGGCATTTGTCACCAATTTGAAATAGTTTGGATGGGTTTCATGGGTTTGTAATATTTGCTAAGCAGAGGCTGCTGCATGTGCCAGGAACCCACCATGCTAGACTGATGGCTCAGTTAACTCACATTATTTTGCCTATGACATTTTTGTGAAATAGAGATGTAGACAGTTAGGTGAGAGACAGTGTTGCAACTATGACATGGCCATCATGGACCAGACAACCCTCACTGGCCTGGTGCCAGCCAGCCTTCTCTTATTGATTAGACCAAGTAATGTCAATGCTGTGGGACCTTTGCTTAATTTATATTTGTAGCACCTCTGGTATACTATGGATGCTGCTATGTTCTCCATTTAAAAAGGTCAAAATGTTAAATAATGATGGGTACTAATGTTTAGTTGGACACAACTGCCCTTAAAGCTTGAGTGAAAGCAAACATAATGACATTTAAGAGCATTGTGCTGTAAAGGGTGATAAGTGCAGCTTTGTGCAAAGATGGTTTGAGCACAGGTCATGCTCCAAAACTCCTGCTAAGAGTATCAGTCTTTGTGTAGCTCAGGACCTCTTAGCATGGTGATGGTTGTGGAAAGTCCTGGATTTGAAGCAAAAATATCCTGTCATGTGATGGTGTCATGTCTCCAGACTTGCAGCCCTTTACTTAGCTCAGTTAAACCAGTTAATGACTTCAGGGTTAGATTTGGAGACCTGTAGGATCTCAAAAGCAACTGTTTAAGCAACCATGCTGGCAGTGTCCTCAAACATGAGAGACTGGGCATCATATGCAAAGGGTGTGACAAAATCTGATCTGAAACCTGGAGACACCACTTTTATATTGGTTTGGTCCTATTGAGCTTGTGGCATGCACTGCACAATATATTTATATTTGATATGCCATAGCATTGCTCCCAGCCCCATGGCTGATTCCAAGTGTCGCCAGCAGTTGCTAGGACGTGTTTGAGATTCGCGCGACTTCTATGGCTGTTTCCATATTCAGCTTCTTGGGTGGGAAGGATGTCACCATTTTTCGTACTATCGCTCCCAGTTTCCTGTTTGCGGGGCTCGGGGTTTACTGCGTGTTAACCTTCCCCGCTGTGGATCGGCAATCAGCGCCAAACCTAGCGGCGGGCAACCCTGCAACCCTTGGGCTCGGGCGCTCGGCCGGGCAGGCCGGATGTCAGGGTTCGGGATCAGGGTAACCGGGATGAGCAGTGAACGAGATGTGCTGGCGAAGGTCACCGGAGAGCCAGAATTGTGGTAGCATGACTTTATGTTTACCTACTGCACACCCTTTTGGGCGCATTTTGAAATGTTGCTCTAAGAGCACACTCCATCCATCTTATGTGTTTGTTGTTCTGACTAAAATCGCGGCCAAATAACTCCTCAGCTCCCTTAAGAGGACATTCTGAGGCTCATGGGCACTTAGCAAAGTCTGGACACCTTTCCACATAGGAGTGGTCACAAGCGCTACAGGTCCCAACCCCACTTCTTTTCACTTCCAGCCATGAACAACTGAACTTGACTATCTTTCCGTACACTGCTGTGGCGTTATTTGGACTAGGACTTGCACCGGGTGACGTGTTTGTTCCGTGCCAGCATAAGCCCCCCTGCTGGTCTGATAATGCACGCTGACGATTGGTGGATTTTGTTGAACATGCCGTCACCGGCTGGACGACCTCGGCTGGGCGGTGACGTCTCACTGGGGCGGAGAGTCGCGGCACACTTGACACAGCCATGCCTACCGCTCTGTGTGTGTGTGTGCGTCGTTGGGACTTAACGACGTATTCAGCCGCTGAGGCTGTGTGGCGTCGCCTGCCTCTCATCCTGGCGGGAAGGGTGGGCACCGCGGGGAATCAAACCCCGTACCTCTGGTTTCCCAGACGCGCAGAGGTTAACGCAGACGCGGTAACCGCTACACTACTAGTACATCATGCTTACTGCTTTCTTACTTCTCAGCGTGACAGAGCTTGTCGCATGCTCGAGTCTATCGGAGCGACATCCGGAAATTTTAGGACATCATTACCGTGCAGGGTCAGCACAGCAGCAGAATTCCTGACAAAGAGGAAGAACCCCGCTGCAACGACGATGGTCATGGTGGTCTTTAACCAGTCCTTACATGTAAAAGTGTTGAAAAGTATGTGGCCAAAAAGGTGTCATAGGAAATGGATGTACAAATTCTGTCTCCTCTAGACTTGTCCTGGCATTTGGCAGTTTAAGTGCGCGATTTTAAATCGAATAGGTAAAAGCTTAGCGGCGAGGCTATTTCATGAACAGGCATCCGGGCAAGGCCGCGCCACGTTTCACTCCGGAGCAGCTGGAAAACTCTGGATGCCTTCTCTCGGACGCTGGGGTCCGTGGAAAGCATGGGACTCCTGTGGCAGATTAAGAGCACTGTTTGGAGCTAGACGAGATCGGGTCGGGGCGTCAGTGGCCCGTTCTGAACTGATTGGCCCGCCACCACGCGGGTAGTCACGCCGCTGGGAGGTCCCCCGTCAGGCGACTGGACGTTGCTTTGCATCGGCGCTCGCACCAGCTGGGTCCGCTCCGCCCTGCTGTGCCATCGCACCGCCTGAGATACGCATACACCAGCGGCGCCCCGAGTGGCCGGCCGTTTTGCGCGCGCCGCGCCAACGCGCATTCCGTATTGCGCGCGCCGCTGCCGCCGACTCTGTGGCGGAGTTGGGATGGGCGGTGGGAGCGCACACCTGGCGCCCATGGGGGGAGTTTGTGCCGTCGACTGCGCTGGCGTCGATCTAAGAGGACTTGTGTGAGTTCGGTGCAGTGGTGTGCAGAACGCGTCAGTGTGCTTCATCCCGCCGTGTCTGAGGTTGTGGCTAGTGTGGGCAGCCGCGCACAGTCACGCTTGCTCACGAAGGGAAAATTGAATTTACGATGCAAATGCACTTGAGGAAATGGTCCTTGTTACGTCCTTAAGGTGGTTCGCCAGGTACAAAGATATCCCGCAAAATAAACGAGCCATTGTCTCCTCTAAGATTGTAGGGGCCAAATATGTGTTCGTCTCCTTTCAAGGGTTTGGGAGAGTCCTTGGATGGATTTTTCGCCGATGATGACGTGATACTGTGCTGAGTACCGACGTTTGCAACGTTTTTGGCAGCATATGTAGACACGCATACCGGCACCCAAGAAAAGAACGGAATTTCGTTATCGATATCGCGTCACAAAATGTTTCGTGTGCCGCTCGTGGAGTGGTAAGTGCAGTTTGAAGGAATGAACAGAGCAAGCCATTGCAAGCACTTGCATGCATAGCAGGCCAGCTGCTTAGCCGCGACGTAAGAGCTGGCACCGAAATATCGCCCGAGGTGCCACCTGAAGCTGCCACCGGGACAGCGCTGTCCCGTGTAGATTCAACACACTGGGTTTACGGGCATAACTGCGATCCATTCGATGCGCCGTAATGGTCATACTCAGGCCCCGGAATGCGACCGGATCAAGCGACCAGACAGGCGATTGAAAAAAACACGTGCGCATTGTCTCGTCCGATGGCTTGATGTCGTGATGGCGTGACGTCATCACAGGTGCGGCGCTGTGTTCCTGGCAGATGGCCCATCACGGATTATTTATGAAACCCTGATAGCTTCTTGATGGTCTCCGTGTTATTTTCAACAAGAATGATGATTTGAGTTTCGGTGCGCGCCGACGACGGAGGTCATTCTGCGCCCATACCTAAAGTTAAGAAGTGCAACGTTTTTAACAAAACGGGAGGCAAAAGTGTTGAAAACATGACGCCGGCTCTCGACTAGAACGCGTCAAGTGCTGTAGTCGATCCCCGAGGCGTTGCCGTCTCGATGTGCATCACGACTCGGTCGCACAGCTGCCGCCCCAGGTGTTTTCGCTGCCCGTCGAGGCGGCTCGATCGCAGAGTCCGGCGACATGCGGGGATGCCGGAGCACGCTGTCGCCGGTGGCCGTGCGGGCCGGGCCTTCCCCGCCGGCCGTGGGGCACTCCGCCGGTGCTGGAGAGGGCGCCGTCCAGCTGGCTGCCAGGGCCGTGCTCGTAACGGGCGACGGCGCACGGGAGTGTAGCGAAACCCGCGTCAGCTGTTTTCGTGGATGAGGAAGTTGACCACGAAGGCTTGGAGCCCGAATGGGCTCACTTTGTGTGTCATGCTTGTTGAGTGTGGGGTTACAGCCGCAGCCACGTCTGAAGCTGAATCACTGCCTGACTGATGAGGCGGCGGGTCAGATGAGCCACGAGCAAAGTCGCTCCCGCTCAAACCACATCAGAGGCGGGCCAGCTGCTGCCATATTCCATGAGTCTTGAAATTATGAAAGCCGCTACAACCTCGTTCGACAAGACGTGTTTTCCTGCTGGCGGTTTTTTTGCCGAGCTGGTCTAAAGCAGCTTGTATGTGTGTACACGGCCCCCCTGGCTGTGACAGCGTCCGGCCGGGCGGCGGCGCCGGACCTGCGACCGAGTCGAGTCTCCGGCGGCGGCGGCGGCGGCGGCCGCGCCGGGCCACGGAACTCCCGACGCCCCCGCTCGCAGCGCTGTCCATTATGAGCGCTGCACTCTCCGGAATGCCGCTCTTCGGTCCGTGGGCAGGGCGGCCTCGCGCTGGAAATGCCAGCTGTGTCGCTGGAAATGGCGACTACTGATGTCAGCAGGGGAAGCTCGGGGAACCCCCGCCCCCTCCTCCACCCGTTGCCCGCGATCGCCACCGTCGTTGCACCGCCGTGTTGGGATTGTTTGTTGACGCCAGATGCTTACCTGTTTGTTGGCCGGTTGCATGCGGGCGGCCCCAGACGGGCTCTGTGTGTGTGGCGGCAATGCTCGGTACCGGCGGCGACTGCTGGGCGCCTCCGAGCGGCCGTGTCTAGCGGTCCTGACCAGCCGCCGAGCGGCCGTGTCTCGCGGTCTTGACCAGCCGCCGCCGGCCCGGCCGGCCTCCGTCGCCGACCCGGGGCACGTGATGGCCGGCCTGCCGCGCGCCGGCCACCGAGGGGGGGAGAGGGGGGGGGGGGGGCAGAAGGGTGAGCTGACGCCGCCGGACACGGGCTGGGAGGGGTCCGCGGAGGGGTGAGGTGTCGCCGCCGGCCACGGTCCGGCAGGGGGAGGGATGCCGCCGCCGGCCTGGGCCCAGGAGGGGACAGCGTGCGTGGAGGGCAGACGAACGCCGCCGGCTGTTGATCGGCAGCCGTCAGGGCGGTGGGGAGGGGGAGGGTGGCGGAAGCGGCGCGTGCGCTGAAGCGAGACTGGTCGTCCGCACCGCCCTGGCGCTGGGAGCTGCTGCTGTCCGCCGCTGGCTGCTGCCGCCCCCAGCTGTCATAGTGCTTGTCTTAATTGGGTACGAACTCACCGCTGGTGATTTCCCTCGGTGAAATATCCCACACGGTCTGTCTATGATTTTGCGTAGTTTTGGCGTTTGTGGTTGAAACTCCCGAAATAATTTAGCTGGTCATGGGCTAGTGTGTGCGCGGGCATCAGTGTCTAATGCCTCACACCTGTCGATGATTAATGATCAAGGAAATCAAATTGATTTTTTGGATGCAGTAGTATTCCCTGTATCAATGCAGCATACTTACGTCTTATAAAAGCTTTGATCGTTTGGTGTACGGCGTTTTTACATGAGCCGCTGGTTTAACCGTCTGTGTTTGGATGTCAAAGAAGGCAGAATGGGACCCTTCCCTCGCGTAGGACTACCCCGTAGAATATTGTAATCACCTGCCGTGGCCGGCCTTTCTACATCATGGTCGATGTGCGCCGAGAACCGGAAATGGGATATATCCGTTCAGTGGGTCAGCAATGTTTGCATCCTCGGTGTTAGCTATTCTAGCACGACGCCGTACGTTATGGGCCGTGTTTTGTATGTTTCCAGATGTTTGTGGAACGGTCTTCCGCGTCGCGTCTCTCCGGCATACTCTCATCATCACAATGCACGTTGTGCCCTCTCCCTTTCCCCCTTTCTCGCGCACCGACGCAGGTGCTGTGCAGCCCGATGCCGTCCGTCCTGTTGGCGATGCCGCGACTGATTTGAGGTGCACGACCCCGCGCGAGGAGATCACGCGCCGGCGCTGCTGGCGGGCGGGTGGCGACGGCGCGGGCCGCGATCCCCTTCACAGCCGGTGCTCATGGCCAGACTCGCGTCACATGATCCGGCGACACGCCGCGCCGAGTCAGGCTTGCAACTGAAAGTGGTGGCATCTATCGCCAGGTGTTCCAACTTGCATCGCACGGCGGGCGACACGGAGCGGCGCTACCACCTGCGCTATTACAAGACGGGCATGTGTGTGCACGACACGGACTCGAGAGGGCTCTGCGTCAAGAACGGCGTGCACTGCGCGTTCGCTCATGGTCAGAACGATCTGAGGTAAGACTGGGGCGCGCGATGCAGAGCCGAGGTCATTGTGCTATTCCTGGGAAAGTTACTCGCCTCGTGTTACCGAAAATCGGACTGGTAATGGGAAGACAGGATAGCTAAATATTATCCCAGGCATTGGCTTGTCACAGCATGCTCTCTCTGCGAGAGATGTCGTTTAGTCTTAGTACTGACCTCACCTTGGCGTCCGTTGGTGATGGTGGGGGAGGGAGGGCGAAGGGGAAATACGGTGTGACCGGTGTCACGGCATGCCGGGCTGAGCGAGGCGCGGGCCCCGCCGTCTGCGTGGCCGCGCGATGTCGCGCCCCCCCCCCCCCCCCACCCACCCCCACCCCAGCCGCGTGAGCCGCGTTCGACGCCGTGTCCCGGCGCCGCCAGGCCGCCCGTGTACGACAAGAAGGAGCAGGAGATGATCGACCACCCGGAGACGGACGTGAACGGCAGCGGTCCCAACAGCCTGGACAAGGAGCGCAACATGATGAGCGAGGATCCCAAGTGGCAGGGTCAGTGACCCCCGCGCCGAGGGTGGCGCTGGCGGTCGAGGCGGCCGGCGCCGGCGCCTGGGTCGTCCCCTTGGCGCCGCCGCCGCTGCCGTGCATTGCGCTGAACAGGCCCAGTAAAGCGGCGGCCGTCGCTGCTGTCTGTGTTTGGGCGTCTCTTTCGTCGGGAATTTTGGCTCAGATGCCCGTGAACGCGTAAATGTATACACGTTTGAGCTGCGTTAGTCCCTCCACTCCGCCTGCTTTCGCCATCATCCGGGATCCTCGCCACGATTCGAGCGCTCGTGTGGTCGGTGGGTGTTGTCCGCCGGTCTTCGTGTGAGGTCTTTGAGCCTGTCCCCCGGCCCACCGCCGGCACGCGCGGCTCTCCGCGCGGCCTCGTGACAACGCCCGTCACGTGTTATGTTCCAACGTCACTGACGGAGGGCCGGCTTCAGACACCAACTACGTGCTGGCCAACTACAAGACGGAGCCGTGCAAGAAGCCGCCGCGTCTCTGCCGCCAGGGCTACGCCTGCCCGCAGTTCCACAACCCGCGCGACAAGCGGCGCTCGCCGAAAAAGTACAAATACCGGTGAGTGGGGGGCCGGAGGGGCTCGCCGTCCGGGACGCTAGTGAGCGCCGGCGCGGGTTGAAGGGCCGGCCGGGCGGCGCCCAGCCCGGGGGACGGTCACCGTGGCGGTGACGCGCCTCGGAGGCGGGTGGTCGACGGTCGCCAGCGGCGGAGAGCGCAAAGCCGCCGCCGGCCACGGGAGCGAGAAGCGAGGGGCTGGTGTGGGACACCGTCTGGGCGTCACTCACCGCGTCTGTCGGCGCGGGGAGACGCGCCTTCGGTGCTACCGTGGACCGGCCGGCGTCCCTGCCGGCCCGGTGACCGTTGCCGCCTCCCCCCCCCCCCCCGTGCCGCGCTGACAGGTCCCCCGGTCCGGACAGGTCCACGCCGTGCCCGAACGTGAAGCAGGGCGACGAGTGGGGCGACCCGAACAGCTGCGAGCACGGCGACGGCTGCCAGTACTGCCACACGCGCACCGAGCAACAGTTCCACCCGGAGATCTACAAGTCAACGCGCTGCAACGACGTGCAGCAGAACGGCTACTGCCCGCGCGCCGCCTTCTGCGCCTTCGCGCACGTCGAGAGTGAGTGGCGCCGCCGGCTGGTGGGTGGCGCTGCGGGGCGCGCGCGCGGACGATCGCCGTCGGTGGCCACGGCCCGAGCTGGTGGCGGTGTCATACTGGGACTGAATGGCGGCAGCCGTGTGGAGGGGTCGGGTGGGCCGACTGTGTGCCGTGGTTGCTTCTCTGTGGTCGATCTTAAGCGACTCTGCGCCGCTGGCCGGACGGCCGGCGGCCGTCCGGCCAGCCGCGAGACCTGGCCTGACTATAGACGGCCGGCTAGAGCTGAAGGTATAACATCTGACCTGTTCTGTCGGCACACGGGAGGTGCTGATCTGACGTGACCTCTCGGCAGATGGGCGGTGCTGATCTGGCCTGACCTGGTGGCAGGGGATGTGCTGATCTAGCCTGAGCTGTCGGCAGATGGGAGGTGCTGACCCGATCTGACCTCTCGGCAGACGGGCGGTGCTGATCTGGCCTGACCTGCTGGCAGGGGAGGTGCTGATCTGACCTGACCTCCCGGCAGACGAGATGGTGACGAGCAGGGAGGTGGGCGCGCCGGGCCTCACCTGCCTGGCGGATATCGTGTCGTCGGCGCTGCCGCAGGACGAGGGCGGCTCGGTGCGCAAGATCTCGGACCACGGCGACGGGCCGGGTCACAAGCCGCAGCGCAACGGCCGGCTCTCGCTGGTCAGTGGGGCGCGCCGCCGCATGCCGTCGTGGTCACGGGCGAGGCAACGCAACTGCTGGAAGGACAGGCGCAGTCGGGGCAGTGGCTCGAGCTTAACCCGGCGAGTGTGTAGGTCTGGGGTAAACAGTCGAGTCATGAGGATTTCCCCATCCGCTCACAGCCGGTGGGATGCCCCAGGCGGCGCCGGGTGCGGCTCTCTAGCTGTGCATTTTGCCAGGTCCGGGCAGCGTGGCCTTCGGACGTAACCCGTCCGCCGCCTAGGTCGCAGCTCCCGCGCGTGGCGTACGCCCGACAGGGCCATCCGAGGCGACCCCGTCGGGCGGGGCCGTCTGATCGCGCCTCTGACCGCAGCCAGCGTCTGACCCCCCTCCGCCTCGGCGGGCGGGGCCGTCTGATGGCGCCTCTGACCGCAGCCAGCAGTCTGACCTCCCTCCGCCTCGGCGGGCGGGGCCGTCTGATGGCGCCTCTGACCGCAGCCAGCAGTCTGACCTCCCTCCGCCTCGGCGGGCGGGACCGTCTGATCGCGCCTCTGACCGCAGCCAGCGTCTGACCCCCCTCCGCCTCGGCGGGCGGGGCCGTCTGATGGCGCCTCTGACCGCAGCCAGCAGTCTGACCTCCCTCCGCCTCGGCGGGCGGGGCCGTCTGATCGCGCCTCTGACCGCAGCCAGCAGTCTGACCTCCCTCCGCCTCGGCGGGCGGGGCCGTCTGATCGCGCCTCTGACCGCAGCCAGCAGTCTGACCCCCCTCCGCCTCGGCGGGCGGGGCCGTCTGATCGCGCCTCTGACCGCAGCCAGCAGTCTGACCCCCCTCCGCCTCGGCGGGCGGGGCCGTCTGATCGCGCCTCTGACCGCAGCCAGCAGTCTGACCCCCCTCCGCCTCGGCGGGCGGGGCCGTCTGATCGCGCCTCTGACCGCAGCCAGCTGTCTGACCTCCCTCCGCCTCGGCCGGCAGTCGGACCTCAACAACAGTCCGCTGCCGGCGCACGGCAAGTCGCGCACGTTCAGCGGCCCATCATCGTCGGCCGCCGAGCCGCTGCCGTTTCACGCGTCGCCGGCCGCCGCCCTGGCCGGCCACCCGCCGGCCGCAGCCGCCGCCGCCGCCGCCAGCTACGCCAAGGCGCCTGGCAGCGAGCGCTGCGACAAAGACGTGAGTGGCGCCGGCCGGCCGGCCGGGTGTGTGGGCGCGCGTGCTCGCCGCCGGTGCCGGCTGGTGTGGGGCCGGTGTCCAGTGTTGAACACCCGAGCGCTTTCAGTGTCGTATCGCGGGGGTACGCTTCTCGTAACGAGCAGGGCCAGAGTGTAAGCAGTGGCTGCCGGCCGGGCTGTGGCTGTGACATGGAGCGCCGCGCCGGCGCCGCGATGCGCGGTGGTGGCCGCCGGGCCGGCCGTGACGCTGAGCCGGCGTGCGCAGGCGCAGCTGCGCCGGCGGCTGCACGAGATCGACACCGACCCGCACATGGACCCCATGGAGAAGCTGCGCCGCAAGAACAGCCTGTTCGCCTCGCTGGGCGTGTCGCTGTCGTCGAGCGGGCCGGCCGCCGCCGGGCCGCGCCTCTACGCCGCCCCGGACAGCATCGACGGCATGATGGGTGAGCCTACGCCGGCCGAGTCCGGCGCGGCCGTGCGCTGTGTAGCCTCACCCCGAGCTCCGGGGGTGTTCTGGTGGGCCTGACCCGCGGTACCGGCCGTCTGGAGCTGCTCAGCTCGTTGGCATGTGGCGCGTGCACGGCGCCTGTCGCCATCAAGCGGTGGCCAGCTGCGACCCGCTGCCGCCTCCTCCGTCTGCGGAAGTGACGACCCCGGGTGGTACGCATCTAGCGCTGGGCGTCCTCGCCATGTTAAATCGTTGCAAGTAGATGTGGGATACGCATGCTGCTTTCCAGCATTTTCTTTCCGTGAGCGATTACTTCTGCAGAAATGGCTAAGTCCGCACATGCATGGCTGCATCATGATGTTCGGCGGCCCGAGGTCGTGTCGATTGTGCCGTGTGTCGGTCGGCCCGACGCCGGCGGCCGCTGACGGGCGCCGGGCGCCGCCGCAGGTCAGATGTCGCTGGACCCGGCCGGCGAGGCCGACGACGGCGTGATGGCGCAGATCGACCGCGAGCTGGAGCGCGAGGAGCGCGAGTCGCAGCTGGCGCTGGGCGCCGCGCTCTCCTCGGCGCCGGTCAACATCCCCGGCTCGGGCCTGGGCGAGCGGCTGGCCGGCCTCTCGCCGTCGGCCGGCTCGCCGCTGCTCTCCGGGCTGGCGCTGCTCGGCCAGCGCGCCGGCGGCAGCGTCGACCAGGTGCGGCCCGGCGCAACCCGGCGCGGCGGCGGGCGCCCGCGCCGGCGGCCGGGTCTCGACGCGGGCGCAGCGGAACGCGCGGAGGAGCGTTGCGCTCGCGGCGTGGGTTGTCATCACGGCTGGTCTGTTGTCGCGTGTGTCTGTGTGCCCCCTCCGTCCTCCTCCGCCTTTCCCAGCCTCCTCCAGTTCCGTCAGGCATGTGGCTTGTGATCAGACAGTGTGTGGGTTATGTGCCGTGGCTGTGGAGCGTCGCGCCCGCGCCCGGTGTGCGCGCGCCTGTCGCTGACGTCCGCGCGGCGCCGGCAGGGCCTGCTCGGCCGCAGCAACTCCATCTACGGGTCCAGCAGCCTGTTCGAGTACGGCGGCAGTCCGACCAAGCCCGGCCTGGGCGCCATCGGCGGACCGATCATGTCGCAGAGTCCGCTGGTAGGCGGCGGCTTCGGCGCCATCGAGGTGGGTGCGGGCGCGGCGGCAGTCCGCGCTCGGCGTGCCAGGCGCCGACGACGTACCGGAGACGGCGGCGCTGTACGGACTGGCAGTACTCATCGCGCTAGGTTGTCAGCTGTGGAACGGGAGAAATGACGTCGGGTTTTGTATGGTTTGGGTGATAGTAAAGTGGCGTCATATGATGCATGCGAGTCGGAGAAGCGTGGGATTCGCCGTTGTCCTGTCGCCTGTTTTGTTTGGTGGCGTAGACCGTTGCGGCGTTGGCCGGCCGGAGTCTGTGTGCCGGCCGGCCCGCTGGCGGGAGCGGCGACGGTCGCCGGCCGGGCCAGCGGCGGACTGAGCGGCTGCACATTTGCGCTGCAGGTGCAGCGGCTGCGCGAGGAGCTGGCGCAGAACCGGCTGAAGCTGGTGCAGTGGGAAGAGAGCCTGCTGCAGGCGCGCACCGCCTGCGAGGCCTGGCAGCGCGAGGCCGAGGAGAACAAGCTACGCGCCAAGCGGGCCGAGCAGGGCCGCGACGAAACGCAGCGACGGCTGGCCGCCCTGCAGCGCGACATCGACGCCATCAGGTGCGCCGCCGCCGCCGCCGCCGCCGCGGCGCTTGCTCGGGGAGGGCGACGCCGCGAACTTACCGACTCTGACGGCCGAGTCATTTGGTGGGGCGCCCGCTGGAAAACTAACCCGATCGTCCGGCTGTTCCGACGGTGCAGTGTTCGTGGCACATTGTCTGCTTCATGATCGCCTTGCGGCGTTATTATTTTGTATTGATGAGTTCATGCCACTCCGACGAATAGCCGGTGCCGGTTATTATAATATATATATATATATATATATATATATATATATATATATATAATAGGTATATATAATAGCCAGACGCGACCTTGCCCTTTCCGAATTTACTCATTCTGTATCCCACTTACTACGTCTCGGTAGGCCGATGCCACTTGAGTTGTTAACATGTCTGCACTGTCACGCCGTTTCCGGTCGGCCCGGACGTGCGCTAGCGTACCGCGGTCTGACCTGATCTGACCTGGCCTGACCTGACGCCAGGTCTGAGCTGCACGTGGTGCGTCCGGCGACCGACCTCGACTCACTGCCGGTTAACACGCTCAGCACGCTGAAGGCGCAGCTGGCGGCCGACCTGGAACGGGTGGACCAGGTGAGCGGAGCCCTCGGCCGTGCTCTGAGGGGCGGCCTGTGGGGAGCGGCTGCACTGGGGATCACAAGGGGCGGCCTGTGGGGAGCGCTGTACTGGGGAACACAAGGGTGGCCCGTGGGGAGCGCTGTACTGGGGAACACAAGGGCGACCCTTGGTGGTGGGCATCACTGAGGAACAGATCCATGACTTGGCTTCATGCGGTCCCTCTATTAAGGGGTGGACCAGGTGAGCAATGTTTCCGGGCAAGGAGTGGCGTTCAGTCCCGAAAGGGTTGAACCAGATGGACGCAGTTTCGGTGACCAGGGCTACAGATTCTGTGACCCTGGGTGACGTCCTCCTCCTTGAAGGGGTTCCCAGAGTGCAGCGTCATGTTTCATTGTCTGAAGGAGTGGGCCGGGTGGAATGGTCTTTCCCACTCTCCAGGAGGGCTGCGACCACGCTCTTCCGCGCCACTCTTCGTCAGCTCTGAGCTCTATGCCTTACGTGCCGTGTTAGCCAATACCCGCTCGCCTGTCACTCTCCGCCAGCTCTGAGCTCTGTGCCGTACGTGCCGTGGTAGCCAATACCCGCCTGTCCGTGTCTTTCTCTGTCAGCTGTGAGTGCTGTGCCTCATGTGCCGTGGTAGCCAATACCCGCCTGTGTGTGTCACTCTCCGGCAGCTGTGAGTGCTGTGCCTTACGTGCCGTGGTAGCCAATACCCGCCTGTGTGTGTCACTCTCCGTCAGCTGTGAGTACTTTGCCTTGCGTGCCGTGGTAGCCAATACCCTCCTGTCTATCACTCCCCGTCAGCTGTAAGTTCTGTATCCGGTCCGCGCGACCCCAGCCGTGCTGCTCTCCGTTGCAGGCGATCATGACGCAGATGCGCCACGCCCAGGTGGCCCCCGGCCAGCGCTGGTTACAGTAGCCACGCCGTCAGCTAGACGCATTTTCCAATAGGGTGGGCCGGGGCGGGGCGGGGAAGGGAAGGGGGCTGCCGGGCGGCTGTGCGTGGCGACGGTCTGACCTCGAACAGGGCCGGGCTTCGGTCGGCGGCCGGTCTTCGGTCGACAGGCGGACCGCCGGGCTCCGGGCCGCGGCCGTGGCTCGGGTGGGCGCTGACCTGTCTCAAAAGGACTCGGCTGTTTTTTATTGTCCCATGTTGCGCCGTCGCTTTGCCTCCGCGCTCTTGCGTGGTGTGCGCGTCGTCTGGCGCCGCGGTGGCCGGTCTGCCGCCGGCCCGTGCGGCGCAGCAGACCAGCCCGGGCCAGTAGGGCGTCGGCGGCTGACGGGGGCGGCGCCGGCCGAGGTAGGGCGCTCGCTCGTAGAGCTGCGCAGTTCTCAAAGGAAGCGACCGTCTGTAGAGCTTGTACATCGTGTTTGCGCTGCGCCGCGTACGGTTTAAGGAGCGTCGTCTTCGAGCGCGTGCGGCTGGGGGGCGGGCTGGCGTGAGCGACGCTGACGGGGAGGCGCGACGGCGCGTGCTGCCGGCTGGAGGTGCGGCGCTGGTGGACGCCGGAGTCGCGCCGCGTCGGGGGGCAGTGCTCGGGGCCGGCCGGACCGTCCTGGCGGTCTGGTCCCCGCTGAGGTGCGCTGTCCAGCTGTGTTGGCCCTAACGGCGCTGTATATTTTGTACCCGACTCTCTGCTGCCAATGCTTATAGTTTGCAGCTCTTGTCTTTACCGTTGGCCTATAGCCGGTGCTCGCACACCGGGCGCGAGGAGCCTGCCCCTTTCCGATTTTACATATTTTGTATCCCAGTTACCACTGCTCGGTAGGCAGGTCGTCGCCGCGGCCGCGACCCCTCCAGATGCCGCGATTTTGTATCCCGCCCTGTACCTGCCGCTTCAGTTTACTTTTGTCCACCCTACGCCACAGCCGCGTGTCTCTGCGGTCGCGGAGCCCCGGGGGCGGCGGCGGCGCCGGCGCGCGCCTGTTGTAAGCAGCAGCCGACGGCGCGGCGGGTAGTTGTATTCCATGTGGCGGCGAAAGCGGCGCGGGGCTGGCAGCAGGGACAGCGCACATCGGCTACCTCGTTACACCGCGCCGAGTGCGGGCGCAGCGAGCGGGCGACGTTCGGTCCCGGCGGCGGCTACAAATAAACCATTTTTATCACGTGCACTCGTCGTTGTGGGACCTGCGGCACCGGGAAGTGGGGGCCAGCAGTAAATCGCGGAGGGATTTGAGTGTTTAGGGCGCACTCGTTTCGGGATTCGTTTACAGGCGCGGGCACATCCACGCCAACATGCAGTGCCAAGGACGACGCTGGTGGTGTAACCAACCAACTATCGAGACGGATATCCCGACCGAATGGTAGGCGTGACGATGACGGCCGCCGGCCGCTGGGAGAAGCTGTCCGGCACTGTCCAGTTAGCCGTTCACTGTCTAGACGTGACGTGGTCAGCTTCGGGGGCTCCGTGCTGGCGTCCGGCCGTGTGGACCGCGCCCAGTCGGTGGCTGGACGCCGGGGGCGCGGTGCTGGTCATCAGCCGACCAATGGCGGGCCTCGAAGCCGGCCCAGCCGGCCCGAGTGCAGCCAGGCGGCGGTGCGCCGCAGCCGCTCGGCCGGCGGCGGCGGCTCGGGCGGCCGCCACACCGGCGCCGTGCGCATCCAGCCGGCCGCCACGCACGCGCACACCAGCAGCGCGAACAGCGTCGCCCGCCAGCACGGCAGCCAGCGGCCCGACCCGGCGCGCAGCAGCCGCTCGCGCGCGGCACCCGGCTGCCGCAGGAAGGCGGCGGCGGGCGCGCGCCGCGGCTCGGCCAGACCGCCCAGTCTCTCGGGCTGCTGCGTCACCGACGGCGGCCAGCAACACCCTGCAACGGCACGCCAGGTGGCAGGCCTGCTGCGGTGCTGTGCGCTACGCCCCCGGCCTGTCCGGCCGCCGCTCTGCTAGCGTAACCGGCATGAATACAGCGGCAAAAACACGCGATAGGTGGTTCAGGACAAAACGCGGATTTGATGGCAACAGAGCCAGTTGCAAATACCTTGATTGTATGGTGCTCTTGCACTGAACATGTTAAGTTGCGAGTTAAACGCGTTTTGCGTGCGCCGACATCACGTTGTGCGGGTGAACCGATTTTCTTTGTGCTCACCTTTCCCGGGTAGCTGGCCGCATTCCATGCGTGATTTTTCAGAGACCTGATCTTTCATAATTTTCTTCAGCGCTTTCCTTTGTTACAATCATTCACTTCATACACATATTTCGTTCGTCGCAGTTCTCGGTGGCTAAACTGTCAAAATGTAAGCCAGTCTTTGAACTGTTCAGGTTTGCGGAAAGCCCAGATGCGCTGGCATCGGCTCAAAAAAAAAAACGAAAAGTGTGATTGCGTGCCATGTTTCCTCCCGGCACTCTAGCTGTGAAGAGTGTCCGGGCTACCGTACCAGCGTCCTAGCTGTCGCGTTGCGGTTGGATGTTTTGGTTCTCGGATAAGTGCGCAACAGGCTTCTGCAATCCCGGCTGAGAAAGTCGAACCTTCCACTAGCAAGGGACGTGGAACAGTGTCACAAGCTGCTTCTGCTCTGCTCATTAGGAACTTGATGCAAAAGGTACGAATGTTTGGAACCCAGGGAAGGTATACCTGCCGTCAGGGGAGAAATGTGATACCAGACAGACAGCGCAGTGGGGAAAAGTTAAGGTGTTCAGTATCCAGATGAACACAAGCGTATTAGCGGCAACTCCGAGTGAAGAAGTGTATTAAGTCACCAGCGCGTAATCCAGGCCTTCGACACTGGCACACTCCTTCCTGCTGGACACTATCACGGGCAGGAAATTACTGGACATATACCGACGGATCGGCGAGTGGGCGCACCCTTCCCTCACATCGTACTCAAACACCCCGACCTTGCTGTCATGGGCAGGCGATCACTGGACATGTACCGACACATCGGCGAGTGGACGCACCATCTTCTCACATCATACTAAAACCCTGCGACCCTGCTGCTGACCCGGCATTGCCACGCCGCCGCGCTCACGCAGCGGGCACCGCTCCTCAGATTGTGCTGAGGCGGTGGAACATTGTGCGACGCTTCGATGTACAGGGCACGGGAGCAGACCCGCATGTAAACCCGCAGTCCCAATGTTAACGGGGCGTAACAATCTCCGCTACCACATCGGTGAGGCATAGTCACTCGCTGTAAACAAAACAAGCGCGCGAGATACTTTGTCTTCGGTTGCATCGTAGCAGAAAAGTTCAGTCAATTGGCAATATTAACGCCACAAAACGCGCAGCGGGATATGTGCTCTGTACATTCAGAAGCTGGCAAAATCCAGAACTTCTGACTTAGCTAGAAAACGTAGCAAAAATAGTATTAATTTACATCTCTCGTCTTAATCTCCGTCTCATCCAATGACGTCACTAAGTTCCCAGCTGCTGTTCCACAACGGACGCTGCTTGAACTTGATGGTTACAACTCATCGTGGCCGACGTAGTCTTCCTCGCCGTATTCCTGGGGGCGAAAGCACGAAACATCGGCTATTGCGGAAACCAACGAAGCAGACAAAGGATGCAGAATGTGTGTACGACAGGAAGACCAATACAAGCTGCTCTGTGATGTAAGCTGAAATCGTTATCGTCATTGAATACGTCAGCCCTGTGAACAACACCTGCGACCAGCATGGCGGGACAGAATCTGTGGTTGTCTCAAGCACCTATTTTTCACATGCGTCACAAGAAGGGAAGTTAAACATTACAGAACATGCCTCAGACCAAATTATTCGCCACATCCACCATATACAACATGAGCCATTAATATAAGCGGTGCCCCAAACTCCACTAGCTGCTCCGTGTTGAGAGCAACGAGTGCTTGACCGTTAAGGTGTGCAGTACACTACAGGCAAGCTGGGGAAATTTTCCTCAAGGGATCAGCCGTCAGCCGATCAGATCAGGCCGTCTCCTCTCCCAGATTCTCGTCCTGTTCCTTGTTGACCAAACTGGTTCCGCTACCGGCACCGGCCGCGTTCCGCCACCAGCGGCAAACCAGCTGACAACCGGTAAACCGGTTCCGCAGGGCTGACCTCGTCATCGTAGTAGTCGTACTCGTCCTCGGGCGGCGCTCGGCCATACTCGCCGGCCGTCTCGATGAACTTGGACATGCCGCCCACGGTGCGCTCGCCGTTGTACTCGATCACCTGCCGAGCAGCCGGCCGTCAGAGGGCTGGGCCCCACGCACGATCATTGCAGTCGGCGCGCTCCAAAGCCCAGATCGTCATCGTCATCACCATCATCATCATCATCATCATCATCGTCATCATCATCATCATCATCAACAACAACAAGGGCTGAGGGGTACGGCGGCCGGCGGCCGCTCCAAGCCCAAGTGCGCAGCTTGCGCTGGGGAACGGCAGAGGCAGGACGGCGCGGACCATACTGATACTGATGTAATCACACGTAACGTAACACGTCCTTAACACACGTCACACGGCCTACAGCCGCTGCAGCCGGGCGTCCCCGCGGACCCGGCAGCGTAGTGTCGGGGCACAGGGTCAGGGTCAGCCCCGCTCCCGTTAACTATCCGGATTCGGACCAATCAGTGGTTGCGGAGCTCTCACAGACTATCACAGGAGGAAGCTGCCGTGGGTGGGACTCGTGTTGGGGCAGGCAAGAATAGCTGGAGGGTCAGCCTCTCCAGGAGCGGCAGTCCAGCGCGCGGAGCGCCGTGGTCCCGTGCCTCGTTCGTGTCCTTCTTCCACATCTTGATTGTGGGGAAGCTGCGCGGCTTCGTGTGTTGCAGCTCGTTCGTCGTGGCGTCCATCTTGGCGATCAGCACCGTCTTCGAGTCCTTGTATTTCTCGCCGAGCTGATGGCAGAGCGGGGCGTCAGGTTGCCAGCCTTGTGGACCTCGTGCCACTGAGGGGACAGTGACATAGCAGGAACACCACGAAGGGTCATGTGCACATAGCATCTGTGCCACTCGGAGAGCCACCAGCGTCAATCGATGGCAGCCAGTCGATAAGCGACTGTCTGAAGCTAAACCTACATAGTAAAGGTATCTTGGTTTGCATGTGGCATAGGTTCTGTACATACCTTGATTCCTGTAAAGTAAGGCTGCCTTGGTCTGAACATCCGAGTCACGTTCGGTGCACACTGCGTACTCCGGCTCCGGGGACATCGGAGGCACTAGCCATGCTAGCCGCGCTGTTCTTCGGCAGGTAAGACGATCCCGCAGATCCTTCGGCAGGATCCCGCGGCGGGGACCCCCATATGTCCATCTCGCTGTGCTAGCTTAGAAAAGCCAGGCGCGTCGCGGTGTTTCAAGTGGACCGTAATGAGACTGCAACCTCTGATAGGGCGGATCTTGTCCTGACCCCGCCCCAAAGTCCTTTCTCTGGTACCCCGCCCCTGCACTTAGACGTCACTACTAAAAATGTGGGCTCTCGTAAGCGCAATACGGGATGTAACAGGGAAAGCCAGCAGCACTCATGATCGGCCTTCGCTGGGAGGGGGGGGGGGGGACGTGCCCTGACCCTGTACTATATTATATCGACTGACGTGTGCAGTGCATGCAACCCGCCGTACACAGACGGGCCGAACAGACCAAAAGGGTGGCTTTTGTTGCACTATCCACATCTGAGGGCCCCAGCCAACTTTGTTGTGGGGAAATGTTGGTAGAGTCACCACAATATGCTCACAATACGCGAACCTGAAGCACATCCCATATCTGCACGCAACAGAAGTGAGCTTTTGGGGGAGAGGACGAGTCGAGCGACACCCGTGCGGCGAAAGCACGGCACGGGCCGGCGGACACGGCGACGCCTGCTGACCTTGTCCAGCTCGGGCTCCAGCTTCTTGCAATGACCACACCACGGGGCGTAGAAGTCCACCAGCACGTCGCGACTCCTGTCCAGCACCACCTGGTCGAAGCTGGTGCCGACGAGCACCTTGACGGGCTGCGCGTCCCAGTCGTCCGGCCGCTCGTCGCTCAGCAGGTGCGGCTGCGGCAGGCGCGCGGCGCGGCGTCACCGGCCGCCCGCGTCCTCTCCGCTCGTTATCACGTTCGTGTGTCGTCCGCGCTCCCATCCTTGCGAGCTCATGATTACAGCTGCGCGTTTTATGCCGGGTGCAAACACGCTGACTCCTGAGCGACATTTTGGTGTGGAACAGATGGCGAGCGGAAGG